TGACCCGCTGATCCAGTGAGAACCCTCATGTCTCCCATACAGTAAAGTTATAGTCCTTAGACTAGTATAAGGTTATAGGGACAAGGCTTGGTGATCCACCAACCGTGAGAACTCCCTCGTTGGTTGAGCATGATCCGCTGATCCAGTGGGAACAATCATGACTCCCAGAAAAGTAGTAAGTCATTAGTCTATGTGTAGAATTCAAGTACAGATGGATGGTGATCCACCATGGCAAGATACGCTCCGCTTTGGCAAAAATGAGAAAGGGCAGGTGCCAGGTAAATTATATGATGAATTGTTTATGTGAACTACATGATATTAAACCTATGTGCATTATATCATGTTATGATAATGTATTAGTGGGTTTGAATATGTGTATGTTTGAACTGTTAGATATTTCTCACTCAGCTTCGTTGCTGAGCGTGTAGCCTCTTTTCCCCTTGTTACACGTAGGTAATCATGGAGGGGTTGACCTTGGAATACATCCTGGAGGGCAGCGTGACGGAGGAGACGTGCGGATGCATGGATTTAATAATGTTTGATTAATTTACGAAGCTTCCGCACTGTTTGTATAAACTCCGATATGTATTTAAATGGTTTTGTATTATTTAGTTTTAAATTAAATGTTTTTATTTTCCTTGAAATATTGTATGTGGATACCAATCTAGTAGCAACCCGGATTGCTAACTTATTTATTCGGGTTATGCGGGTTGGGGTGTTACATTTTGGTATCGGAGCATATGGTTTTAAAATCGGTCTTCGGACCAGTTCAAAGTAGTATTTTGGAAATCCATAAGTGGAAATAGTATTATTATGATAATATTAACCATGGCAAGAGTATTTTCCAAATACTGCATCCATATCCTCCACGTCATCTCTGCTTCCCGGGAAGGTAAAAAAAAGTTATTGTCTTATTGTCCTCCACGTCATCTCTGCTACGGGTTTGCACCATCGTTTTCTTGGAAGGTTTTTTCTGAGTATGATCCTCGAGCTCTCAATGAAAGCACCAATTTGATGGACAATAAATCCACCCAATGATCCGATTCAGAAGAATGGATCACAAGAGATAGAATAAGAACGAGAACTCGAGAATTATATGTGTGTATTATTAGCTTGATTTATCTTGAGATTTTCCCTTTCGGGTCCCCTCTATTTATACATGGGTTCTGGATAATTAAGGTAATTCATAATCAAAGGGAGTCCACTCCATCGATGGCGCGATCCCCTTTTTATGGCTTCATCTCCGTTCTTCAGCTGAGTTTCCTCCCGTGGACTGGCTCTGCCAGCTGTCTTTTGGGTTAAAGTGGTTTGGGCCTCGCGTTATGGGCCGGCTCAGGTCCATGCCTTTACCGCGCGCTTGACCCGGAGTCTATTGGATGATTAATTTGGGCCACCCGCTGGATATCGGCCCATCAGTAGGTGAACCGATAGCGAGCAACTCCCAAGTCCTTCCCACAAGGGACCCGAACAAACTGTACAACAAGGAGGTGATGCCTCAAGGTGGCGTTGTCTTTGAGAGACTCCGGATGCTGACTAAAATGAGGTTAGGGAAGAACCCAACTATAATCCTAGTTCCCAGTTGGGGCATACACAACAGGGCCGTATCTTCCTTCTGGGTAGTCAGCACCCGAAAGAGAGATAACAAATCATGGAATGCTCAATGGATAGAATATCTTGATGGAGTTCATAAGGAAACTTCAGACGGCAAGATGGACCTCCATGAGAGAACTGATAACTTGCTGCTGAAAATGGATGGCCCGAAGGGCCGCAAGCTAAGTCCATTGGAGGAGAGCCTCGTTTGTGAAAGATGGTGGAATTCTCATACCCTATGGAAGTTAAGGTCTCGCCTATGAAGAGGTATAATAGGGAGAATGATCCGGAAGAGCACTGAAGGTGGTATTACAAAAACATATAGGCTGTTGGGACTAAGGATAATCTGATTAGGAGTTGTATTTTGCAAACACTGAGTAGTACGGTCACGTGTTGATTTGATTTTTTTCCCTCGTAGAGCATAGACAATTGAAAGGAGCCAAAAATTTAAACCCGAGAAACCCTTCACCCATCTGGCCTCCTTTAGGAAATGAATAGGTGAATCTTTGACGAAATTACTTGCTAGGTGTAGGAAGGAGTCTTGTGAAATCGAAGGAGCGGGTGAGAAGTCTGGGTGAACAGTGGTCCGGAATAGGAAAAATCAGAAAACCGACATCGGGTAAAGAGTAAGACCAGAGAACGAACCTGAAAAATTCTAGCTTGGATCAATCCGGACAAATTTTTTCTAGTCCAGTGTGATTTTGCACTGGAAAACTGAATTTTTTTACACAATACTTTTTTTTTCTTTTTCTCGGATTATTTCAACTTGTTTTTTGACGCCCTGGCTTGATTCAATCTTAATATTTATTTTTGTACTTGTTGATTGTGTTTCAAGAAATAATATCAAGATATAAATGTTTCATGAACAATATGATATGCTTAAACTAAACTTTATAGTTTTGTTAATTTGTGAGATGATTTCAAACGTACTGATAAATTTGTACTTTAATACATTTCTCTTTTACCAAGAATAAGTTGCATTAAAAAGTATCCAAATATCTAAGCTTAAGTATTATACTCTAAGTTTTTATATAAATCTAAATTTTATTTATTATCAAATATAACTTGTTTTAAAAATAAAAATTAAAGAATAAACACATTCAGATATTACACGTCTGGCCCAAAAACCAGCCGGTTTTGGACCGGGATTATACCAGTCCTCAACTCTAAGACCGGAGACTGGTTTGGATTTTTACCGATGTAGCTCGGATTATGGATTTTGGGTCTGGTCAGATTTTTTGGTCTGACCCAGTTCTCTTACACCCCTACCATTTTGTGCCTACTTGACCACCCATCTGGCGAACTCAATAAAGGAGGCAATGGCTAGGGCGGTAAGATATGTTATCTTAGAAGAGAGGGACAAATAGATTGAGGATAACCACATGGCGTCAAAGGATAGAGCTAATGCTAAAAAAGAAGTGTATACTAATCCATAGGTCTAAGCTGATAGTCGGGGTTTCTTCTGGTGGGGTCGTAATGCAGTGAACCGACAAGTATTAAAAGTTTGTCCTCCAAAATTTGCTTGTAAATTCAAGAAAATTAACGCTACCACCTTATGCTTACCAAACTTGTGTTTTGTTGATGGGAAATATTTTTTAGAAAAGAATATTTTCCATGATAAAATGATTTCCAGGAAGTTATAATT